GTTTCTCACCTCACGAAATCCATGGTTTGCGAGTAAAGTTAACACCAATTTTGAGTCAACATTTAATAACTTAAATGACATGTTGACCAATTTCCAAGGGACGTCATCCAATGGTTGGTCCAACGCTGACGGATAAAAAACACATGTTTTGTTACCATTTGAAGAATTATTGAAAATATACTTTGTGTAATCGTTGTTATTTTTCCCACCCTTAGTAGTGTTGTTCATTATGCATTAAGTAAAAGAACTAAATCACAATACGATATAGCAAATCTACACAATAATCTAAACAKTCATGAATAATTGATTAATTTTTGTGAAATAATTTTATTGCAGGTAMTAATGTAAAATCACATTGATCTAACATTGAGACAAGTAATTTGTGTATGTGTATTATATATTTTTTATCTAACAAACAATAATGTTATCATAGCGTCACCATTTGGAAATAATAATGAAAAGTGAAAACTATGGTAATGAAAGAAATAATAATTTAAAAAAAAAAAAACATTAAACATTACCAAGCGCAGTGTTGTGAGTTTACGTTTTACTATCACTATGGTTCTTATCATATTCGATATGGTTACCATAATAAGATATTATTATGATATTATACGATAAATATGCCATATTAGTTATTACTATGTTAGGCATAGACCAAAAATGAATATAATTAAAATAATAATATAATAATATTAATTAATAATTAATATAATTAATTTTATACATAGATCTGGCCAATGCCCATATGTCATATACATACGGTTATACTAATAGGTAATAATAAACACAACAAATAAAATTAGTAAAGATTCATTGGTTTTAAATTTTAATGAATTTTAAATATTACGTTTAAATGTATAAATTATACATTTAAACCTGATTGAGGTGACTCAGAGGGGATGGGAGGACTGAGTACTTCGACTATTTTTAGGATACTCAACTACTCAAGCGTATACCCCTACTTCTTTTTTAAATCGTAACGTATGGGATGGGTTGGCTAATTAACTATAAAACACTTGTTAATCAACTCTTCACTCTTTTTCATACTATGTGTTGGTTCCCCAGTAATAGCTTTAAATCCAGCCAATTAAGTAAAGTCATGGATCCTCAATGCAAGAAGTGATGCAAATGAGGTACCTATGTCGTCCAAAAAGACGAGTAAATCACAGTGATATTAATTATTTTGAACTGTGAAATCTTTTTGTTTTGTATATTTCTAGTAAAAAAAAATACCTAAAGTTATACCTTATAAATTATGATATTATTTATATGTTATGATTCATTGATACGTGTTTCTTCATTTTTATTATGTTTCTTAAAGGACTCTAAAGGGTGGCGTTGGGGTGACCCACCCACCTCATAGTTATGTGAGTTTGATTAAAATTCTAAGGACGCTACTTTTTTAAAGTAGCTAGAGTAAGAGTACGTCTGTCCTCTACTACTTTATTCTCAAGTCAACCACCATACCAAAATGGCATTATATAATGGACAATGATTCCGCATCCGTAGACAGCCTAAAAAAATCTACTYWTATGAAAAGATTCTCTCGTAACCACAATACCACGGACTGTTATTTGTTAAGTTGTAGATACTTTGTACCTAAAAAGTWATTTTGAGTTTTTATTGAAACAGTAAAGTGAGTGATCTACCGCCTATGCATTTCATCATTGCACAGGGTTGTTCATGTTACGGTAGGTCGGTAGGTACCAGTATAGTGTAGATACTTAATCTGCAGTAGGTAAACACTGAACTCATGCTTTAGTAAGTATAGTGCTCGCTCTAATCGATAAATGCATTTTAAGTTTAAAGAGTTTTTTCATAACAATATCTTGAAGCGGCGTTCTAATGACGTTTCATGTTTGTTTAGCGATTATCGTTATGAATTACAAATTCGAAAACATCGTTTTAAGCTTCTAGTAAATAGTAGATACCTATTACGTCCGTCGCAAGGCTGCTAATAAAATAGTTATTTTTTTWAATACCACTAATAAATATCAACTTAATTTATCTGCCATCGCCCATCCGACATTCCCGACATTCCTATGGTTTAAATGAAATTGTTATTTGATGAGATGTGGGCAAATTGAGAATAGCCTCTAGACGTTACTCGTATTCGGGCCGCGGTGTTTCACAGTTCACACTCACAACTCACAAGTCACAAATACACAGGTTTCGAATACTAATTTGATTT